GAGAATAGTTTCACATAATTTGTCACATTCATGCGTTAAAACAATTGAAGATCCTTTCAGCAAAAAAAATTATTACTGTAAAAAAAATCGAACATTTCGAGTATTTTATGACCTGTCGTATTTTTTCACCCTAAGTATCGACTCATATTTTTGCGTTGCATTATAAATTGATTGAAAAGGGTATTTAAAATTATTTCAAGGTATATAATTATTTTCCTTTGGGGTTCGGCAATTAATTAAAAATAAACATTATGCAAAGAAGAAATGCAAAGATTTATCTTTGAACATCAATTAAATTGTTTTTGATTGCAAAATATCATATTACCAACACGCAATAATCCAAACATAAATTGTTTAGTATTCATGTTATGGAAATCCAATTATTTACACAGAATGCTTATCTACTTTCTGTCTAAAACTTGTCATTTTGCTCTCTACTTCTGCTTGCGAATTACAAATCAAAAGCTCCTCCAATTTTAGTTCAAGGCGATTGAATTTTCCATTCATGGGAAATATTTTTTCCAGGAATTCTAAAAAACCAATTTGTTGTTCAAATTAAATTAATATAAATAGCAATTATGGCAAGCGATTAGCAGCATACATCGGTATAAGGTTTCCAAAAAAACAAGCTGTCACATTTTTTAGCGATTTATTTTATTAAATTGACACAGCCATCGCAGTTATCTATATTATTCATGTGCAGCCTCCAAGTTGCTCACGAGAACAAACTTTAATGTATAATAAATTTTTTTTGATTAATTGAAGATGTCGGTTTTATTCAGGAGAATCATTGGATTTCCATCTGTAAAACCTAAATAATGATAAAAAGAAAACTTAAAAATTGTTTCTAGTATATAGTGAATCCGTTTAAAGCAAAATTATATCAATTCTAATAAAACTAAAAATAATAAAAGCAATTCTACAAGATGAGGAATACATTTAAATTGTTCAGAACCTCATTTATTAAAAAAGTATTTTAGAAGTATTAGAAATGTTTTTTGAAAAAAACTTTTTTTTTCAAACATTCAGTTCAACACTAAAAAATTATTCCTTATATTTACAACCGAAAATCGACACGCTCACCTCGACGTCACCACTACTGTAGACAACGCTGTCAATAGGTTTTAACAATATCATGTAAATGTTTATTTGATGAAGTCTATCTAAAAAAGAAATTTTTAAGATTTCATTGTTTTTTATAAAATTTATTTTCTTAAAAAAATATAAAACGAAATTATTGTAGGAAAAAATAATTTATTTTTATTTTTCAAAAAAGACGAAGCTTTCCAAATATTTGAATAATTAATTAGGAATTTTCTGTCACATCAGTAATTTTTATTTTTTGCCGATTCCTAAGTATTTAATTTTCGCCTCAGATGGCAAAATGGCGAGAAATCGTAAAAAAAAAAGAAAAACGACATATTTCTTGCCCATTTTTAGCTCGTCTTTGCCTTGGCAATCTGAAAAAAAAAAATAAAATTTTGGCCCTCAAGACGTTTATAATGTGGGAAATTTTGATTTTCGCCATGTTTTTTTTTGCTTTGATCATCGACCCAACTTTGGTGTATTATCATTCATCGGATCAGCCTTTTCAATAATTGTTGCTAAATCATACAGATGATAGGCTTCAATCAAATAAGTCCAAAAAATAATGTCGTATCCTATTTATTGCTCGCTGGATTTTTATTTTTCTACCTTGAATTACGCACCAAAAGGTGTCAATAATATTGAAACCAATATTTTTCCTGTCCGAGATGTGAATAATTGAGTTATATCCACGACAGCTCGACTAGTTTCACGAAACAATTCAAATTGTTAACTTCCGCTGTATTGGGGTGTTTATGGGCCCTCGCCGCAAAAATGAGTGTTTTGCCAACCCCTCGAGATGAAATCATTGCTTGCTCACTCCCCCACATGGAATTTATTGAATCCCACACTTCAAGTTGATGCTCGCTGAAGTTAGTGCGAGCATCCAATTTAAATGCGCATCTGTTCCTTGCATAGTGCGTTGCTCATGATCAGGTGCGTAGAGTGTTTATTTAATTAGGTTTGGTACATTAAAATCAGATTCTTGAATTTTGTGTGATAGATTTTTCTATATTATAAACATGAATGACCAAAAAGGTTTGTATTTATGCAAAGCAATGCTGATTCCATACTTTAATGATTTTACTAATTTCCGGTAGGTAAATATCTCATTCTAGACAATATATTTGAATAATAGGTCGGCAATTCTAGTGTTTAAGGTTGAAATACAACTGCTAAGCTAGCGTGTGAATAGTTTTGTGATTTATCGAAGCAAATGCCAAACATCCGTTCGTTCTCCACTCGTATTATTAAAAACATTTTATCGGCTTTTTTGAATCGTTTGAACTATACATAGCAAAACATAGCAAAAAAATGCTAGAAAATCTTTGAAAGTAGCCAAGAACGTAGTCTGCACTCAGGATTGAGGCAATTTTGAATTATTTACGTCATTGTTTGCAAATCTCTAAGAGTTTTTTCTTTCACACCACCACCTAATTTTTCAAATGTTCTTCCACCCCAACATTCGACAGTAAACCCAATAAAACTTACGTTCGAAATATCAACGTGTGTGTGTGTTTTCGCAATGTGCGTATGCGAATATGTTAAGATCGGATTATGGAATACCGATAATCCTCTCGTATAGAAATAAATCTGGGACAAAAGCTAATCACTTTTCTGCTATAGATATTCTGTGTATAGATAGATAGATATGTCTCTCCGGCAGTTTAAAAAAAAATCTATCTGCCATCCATTCATTCCATCATTCAACGGCCTGCACGCAATTCCTTGTAGGCAGGAAACAAATTAAACACGACTCATACTATTATTTCGAACTTGGGTTTCAAATAAATCATGATGTAAGTAACATTTTTTTCTTCAGCGCAACTTTTTAGAAAATAACTCTTTTCGAATTAGATTGTCAAGTATTGACACGAGAACAATAAAGATGATATGCCATTTATTAATTTGTCATCGGAATTAAAAATAGCTGTTCGTATTACATTTTTCTAATGAAGGGCACAATAAAATCAAGTTGGTATTAAACCGTAAACCTATTTCAAAATGTATCCAACATCAATCAAACGTCCTCTTCCCTTTACTTTTACTTCTTTTTCCGCTGTTAACTTGTCGAATTTGTTCCTTCCAACACACGTCACACCCATTACTAGAAATTTGGAAATGCTTTTTGAACAAATTAATTTCGGACTATTTGTGGTGAATTGGTATCACACAAATTTAGAAATTCTTGTAATATTCTTGCCGATATTGCCAATCAAATCATTAATGTTCATAAATTAGGTTTATATTTCTTTCAGTGAAAGTGTAGAATCAATTTCATTTTGAAAAGTATATTCGCCTTATTTTGGATGCGAAACGCTATTTCTTGGAAAAAAAAAACGTGACAAAGCACAATTGAAAATTTAAACAGGATTTTTATGTTCAGCAAATATTCATTAAGATATGCAATTTTTAAATAAGATTCAAAATGCTGCTTTGCAGAGTAAAATAAGAAAATCATTACATTTCAACGAATAACCACCCACAGATTTAAACATTTGTGCAAGCTTCTTTACCATAAATTTAATCCACTCTTTCAGATGATAAAAATTATGAAATCGATATAATTCTTCATTTTTAGAATTTGCCCTGTATTGTTATTATTCAAGCTATATAAGCTATTTCTGACAAAAATGTTTGTAAGGAGACGATTTTTCTCCATTTTTACGTAATAATTACTTAATCGGATATATTTCCGATTCCATTTCATTGATTTGGAGATTAAATTTCCTGCTAAATTATCGGAATGCAATGAATTTCCTAGAGCTGTGCTCACTTTAACGATAAAACGGGAATTAATCCGTATTATGGGCTCATTTTGTTCTTCTATTATTTCTTCACTTTTGACACATTGAAATCGTGAAGACAAAAAGAACTTCATATCATTCAATTCAATTTTCTTATATATGTTTCGACGCTCAGAAGGACACATTCAACATAAAACAGTATTACAGTACCACTAAATTAAATAGCAAATGGAATTATGCTCAAAATTATATAGATATTAAAAAGATTACATATATGGAACTGCTATAGAAAATCATTTCAGAAAAGAAATACCCATAGAAAACTCTAACAGTCATTCGTGAAATGATTTCTTTTCTCAAGTTTGAAGTTTTACTGTAGATCAATTGAAGCACAGATTTGTTCGCCTCCGACCCCCCAAAAAATCTTGTTAATTCAAGAAATATCTCCGAATACTATATGTTTTGTGCTAGCTCCAAAATGTGAATCGCATCACATTTTCCTCGAATATTTATCGTCTTCAATCCTTTGTGTAGGTTTTCAATTTTTGCGAAAATCGTATATCAACGTCAGTAAGCGATTCCATTTTTTCCGAAGCATATAAATCTGCATTTTTTGCCCTTTTTTCTTCTTCCCTTTTGCACGATTCTATTCAGGGAGAATTTTCATTAATTCCGTATTTGACACATTACGATTAAACTGAAAAGAAAACTCCAACCTGGTTTTATTTGCTTCTTGGCTGAGTGACACGTTTTGCAGGCTAGTTGTTTATTTCTATTTAGTGATCTTTTTTAGAAAAACGAGAAAATCGAATGTGCTGATTCAATCACTGTTTCTGCGTTATTGACATATTGTAACAAATTCCACCTGTTATAAATGTAAACGTTTTCCTAGGTTAATAGAAAACGCCTCGGTAGTACATATTCAAGTTATTCGCCGAGAAAATGCAAATCAGATGTAAATATTGAGAAGGCAAAAATTTTCCCCAGTTAGTTTTTTATTCCGCTGACACCCTCACCGCGCTTTCAATTAATCAGAAACATTGTTTTTTTTTCTGTTCCACTTTATAATTCTGTCATGAGATTTTCAATATGTTATGCATCGAACTGATTTTTGAACGTTTTGATCCCATTTTACTAAATTGGAAAAATTTCAGATCGAGTTATGTCATGAGCCCAACCGAGGATTCATACACGTTTTTCCAAGTACGTAATTGATTTTTTTTCTATTCTTAAATTTATCGCTCTGCGAAATTGGAAACTGCTCGAAAAAGATTAAGCGAGGCACATACAAACTAATCATCATAAATTTGTCGCTCTCGCTGAGACCTAACGCCGAAAGAGATAGATATCCTTTTAATCTCAAATGCGTGTCTCTTTCAACATTCAAATTATTTTGCTGCAACTTCTAATAAGGATGACTGCGGGACGTGAGTATTCATCTAAACAAAATTTTTATGTGATGACGACGACGTGATTCAAGTGGAAATCATGAGAAGAGTTTTTTTCCACATAATCAAAAGATTTTCCAAAATAGAAATAATCCAAATGCCTTTCGATTAGCGCCACGACATTGACGTACAAACATAAAAATAATAAGCTGATGTTTTTTTTTCAGCCAATAACCCATTTAAGATTTATTTTTTGCCGCAACTTTTCATAAAAGTGCAACGGCGAAAACAAACTCGTTAAGTGTAGTCATGCAACAAAGAATTTCATTTTAAGAACAGAAAGTTTTCATTTGTTTGAAAACTTGAAATTCTTGGAAATCTTTGAGAGAGAACCCAATTCATTCAAAAATTTCATTAAATTTTGGTCGAAACACAATTAAAATTGTTGCCGTAGGCTGTGAGCATAATGTTTCATCGAAGTTTCTACGAAATTAACGAATTTGGGAGAAGTGGCCATAAGTGTTGTAATTTTCAGATCCTGAAGGGCAGCGCCCTTTTCCTTTTGGTGTTATGGACGGTCTTCGCCAATTCTTTGGTGTTCATTGTACTATATAAAAACCCGCGACTTCAAACTGTTCCCAATTTATTGGTATTTTGCAATCATGAATATTCAAATTGTCTGCGACAATTTGTAGGTCGGAAATCTTGCCTTTTCGGATTTGGCACTCGGACTCTTCGTTCTTCCGCTTTCATCGGTTTATGCAATAGCTGGAGAATGGGTATTTCCCGATGCGCTATGCGAAGTTTTCGTTTCTGGTATAAAACATATACAATTGAAATGCGAAAAAATTATAAGTATAGCTGACATTTTGTGTTCTACCGCTTCAATTTGGAACCTTTCGATTGTTGGACTGGATCGTTATTGGGCTATTACGAGTCCTGTAGCTTATATGAGTAAAAGGTAAATCATATCAATACAACAAAAAAGGTTTATGTTGTAATTAAGGAACAAACGAACTGCTGGAATTATGATATTATCGGTTTGGATTTCTAGTGCTTTGATTTCTCTTGCACCACTTCTCGGCTGGAAACAGGTGTAGAATTATGTAAACCGAATAACGAGTATTAAATTTGCCTTTTTAGACAGCCCACACTCCTAATTTAATTTATGAGCGGAACCAAACTGTTCGTCAGTGCACCTTCCTAGACTTGCCAAGCTATACGATATATTCGGCAACTGGATCATTCTTCATTCCGACGATATTGATGTTCTTCGTTTACTTCAAAATTTATCAAGCGTTCGCGAAACATCGCGCGCGCCAAATTTATCGACAGAAGGTTTGTTGGGAGAAATTGAAAAGTATTAAAAAAGTGGGAAAACTTGAAAATGTCATAACTACAAACAGTTTCACTCGCATGAAAAACAGAAAATTGAAATAAACCACAATTTCGATTTTCCCCCCCAATGATAACAACATTCTAACGTTGTGATCAATTATTAATAATTTTATATTTTTAGCTCGCCGTCTCGTCTCATGTAAGAATTTTTTTCGCATTTTTTTCCACTCAATTGTACTGTGCAATTCACATTGTGACACACGCACCACACCCTAAAAATCTTTTTGCAACGCGTTTTGAAAAATTGCATTCTCGAAATTGCATGGCTTGATGCATTAAATCACCAATCAGAGCGTATCCGTTTTGATATAGTTTCCTAGAAGTCTCCTACGCATGATTATATTAATTTACAAGAGTCATTAGATGCATTCGATCTACAAAAACTTTATCAAACACGAGAAATTGAGAATACTAATGAAACCAAACTACATATTTTAATATTAAAATTCAAAATGCTAGAAAAACGTAACGACACCAAATTTGAGAACATTACAATTTATTTGTTTTCAAGCAAATTGATAAAAAGAAATTAAAATAAAGTTTTTGTTGTCTAATGATATTAGAAAAAAATTAGAAGATTTTTGTGAAATATTGTTTTTATTTCTGAAACTGGGCACAACTATCACACAATATTAAAATGTGTGTTAATTTGTGTTTTAGCGCTTCTATCTTTTCAGAATTCTATTTCCAGACAAAGGCATGTCAAAACATTTTTTCATCACTTTCAATATTACACAGTTTTGAATAAATATACATAGACATATTTTTTTAATCACAAACTATTCGAATAAATGAATGAACTCAAAAAAATTAAAATATTTGTTTTAAAAACCCGGTGTGGTTGATAAGTGTGTCCATGCAAAAATAGTCATCATCCCCTTTTATGCACAGCAATATTTGGTATAATATTATGTCATTGTACGGATATAGCTGATATTTAGAGCCCTCATGCCTGTGTGTTTTTGTTTTGAAACCCTTCTCACCCATTTTCATTTTATTTTATGTTAAATCTTAGAGATTTGCGGTGATCATGTTTTTGCAAGGATGCACCCACACCTTATACCAATTTGTGGAATCCTACGATGATTTTACACCAATATTGTGTGTGTGCGCGTGATTTCTGATTAGCCGATAACCAATCCAAGCAGACGATGAATTTGATGACTCTTTTTTTTCCGAACGATTTTCTCTTAATGATTGATTTTTTTGTTTATTTTTTCGTCTTAATTTGTGTGTTTTTTAATTTAACTCTTTACCTGATGAGTGGTTATTGTCTGATTAGAAATTCGTAGGATTACACTCATTAGCATATCTCGTTTGACGATTGTTTTTTTTTTGTAGGTTATCCGAAAACACATCGAATCCACAATTTTACATGAAATTAGTCACGTTCTACCAACCTCTGATGAGTTTGCAAAAGAAGAAGATGAAGAAGATTGTTCGTATCTCTTCCAATGCCAATTTTATATTTCTTATTATTCAGGCGAAAGCAGTGGACAAGTTGAAAATGGAATTGGAAATGGCAACAATGCCATCATTGAGGAAGATGAGGAAGACGATGAGTCTGATGAGAAAAGAGATGTACCAAAAGTAGATCACTAGTTTATCCCATCTATTAATTGTGTTTTAGGATGTCACTTCCATGACTACTGTAACTGCTACAGTGTCCGGACCAACAGACGCTCCCTATGTAAAACGAGAGGCAAAGGTAATTTTCGTTTCTCTTAAATCGTTACGTAAAAGTGCGACAACGAGCGCAGACATTGTGGAAACATTCGTGATTCAAATTAAGACTTAAAAAAATTGTATGACTATTAAGGTCTCAAAGTTATTTCCTGCTACTATGGAAAACCCACCCAGAGCTCAAAAGCGAGAAGCGAAACCGATGAGAAGTGTTATGGCAATAAGTTATGAAAAAGTGAAACGTCATAAAAATAGGTTAACGGCTAGGGTTTGGGAATAGAATTGTAATTGTCAATTTAGGAAAGAGAGAATTTATCGGAAGAGCCTTCAACGAAAGCCCAAAGCGATTTCAGCAGCAAAAGAGAGAAGAGGTGTCAAAGTGTTGGGCATCATCCTCGGTTGCTTCACAATCTGCTGGGCTCCGTTTTTCGCGTAAGATAATTCCCTAATCAATCATTTTTTTATATAATATTTTTGCAGCATGTACGTTCTTGTTCAATTTTGTAAGGAGTGCAGTCCAAATGCGCATATTGAAATGTTCATCACCTGGCTTGGCTACAGTAATTCGGCTATGAACCCCATTATTTACACGGTATTTGATTTCAAGAGTGTCTCTGTAAATAATTGAGCGTTTGTAGGTATTCAACAGAGATTATCAAATCGCCCTTAAGAGGTTATTCACATCCGATAAGAAATCTATTCCAACGCGCGCTGTCTAAAATGTTGAAACAACACAATATTGGTCTCAGAAAATGAATGATCTGAAATATGAGGAAATTGCGGGTGACTGGATAAGAATACAATACATTTTATTGATTTTCTTACTAACATATTAAATAAATTATTCTCTCTTCCTAAAATACGTTGATTGATGTTATTAAATGAATTTCTGAATATACTTTTGGTCACCCATCCCTCAATGATACAAATACACTTATGAGGGAAAATTTATAAAAATAGCGACTTTTCAACAAAGGTGTGACCCACTCGGAATTTCGCCCAAGTTGACCATGCCGTCACTCAACGTGTCGCCGTGTTTGCATTACTGTATTTCACCGAAGCCGCCGCCATCCTCTATTTGTTTGTGCTCGTTTTGTGTCGCTCACCGAAACTCAAGAGGCGATCTCGACACTCTTCGTAACGAGTCAATATACATTTTACTCAGTTCATTCGATTAAATGATGTATCAGATAGGCAGGATTTTGATAAAGAAGAAATAATGAGTGAGTCCTTCAATTATAAGAAATATGAGCTTTTTACTACGGATTCAGGTATCCCGCATAATCGAAGATTTGACAATCGGAATGGTGTAGGTGTCACAAAATGCTTAGCTCTGATTCTGTCAGCGATGGCTATGGTAGTATTGCAATTTTAAATATGTGAAAAAAAATTATCAAAATTTCCGTTTTAGATTGGTTCTATTGGAATTATCGGATTTGGTATAATGACTATTGTAGAAATAAGTTACTCCGCAGTAGCCATCGGGACGTATGATATTATCTATGGTCCTGCACTGATAGTTATAATTGGGATTCTGGGTTTCTGTCTAACTCCGATCGGATTTTATTCAATTATAATTAACGATTCAAAACTAATGGTGATAGTATGTTTTGATGTTTCGTTTTTTGTTCTTTTATTTGTTGCCTTCAGAACATGTTTGGCACATTCTTCATTGCATTATTGTGTATAATTGCCGCTGTAATTGGATACAATTTGAACAATTATGTAGGGCTATTTTCAACTTCTTGATTTTACAGCAATTTTTCAGGCAAACGACGGAAGGTTGGAGAATTATATGAATAATTCACTGCACATTGAATATGGCCATCCTGATGGAACCCACATCCAAGAAGCTTGGGACAAGCTTCAGCAGCAGGTTTCATAAATGACCAAGCTCCATTCAATTTCAACACTTCTTCAGTTCAAATGTTGTGGAACTAAAAATATGGAAGATTGGGTGTTCAGTCGGTGGTATATAATGCAACGACGATACCCAAGACAACGAATACCAGAAAGCTGTTGTGCTAGTTGTTCTGCAATGCACGACAAATACTGCTACTCATTTTTCACAATGCCCATTGAAGCTGCTTCGAGCCCAACGTTCGACCAAAAAATGTGTCTTAAAGGTGAACTGAAAAATGTTCGGGAGAGAATTGTTTATTTAGCATTTTTTGTAGCTAGCGATCGATGCAATTCAGCAGATTCTTCAATTGCTAATCGCGAAATCTGTCTAGGTATCGAAATCGACTTCAATTTTCCTGCTGAATCGTTCCGTCATAATGGCGGATGTGATTCTCCTGTGAAGAAAAGCCTCGACTTTTTTTCAAACCGAATGTTTGTATTTTCTTTTTCGTTTTTTATTGTCTTATTCCTAAGCACTCTAACTTGGTTTGTCGTACACGAAGTGTCTGATCCAATTTTTAATATCCCATTAATTTCATAAATAGAAATCCATAAACATTATTACATTTTTGAAATGGCGAAGCTTAAATATGCAAATACACATAAAACTTTATTACCAATAAAAAATCAAACAGACAAAAAAATGCACTCGTAGAATTGTAACAGAAAAATATTTTCAAAAATTACCTGTTTTTCTTTGATTCGTGTTTCTTATCACCTTTTTCACTTCTATCCGAAGCGGTCTTACGTGAAAAGAGGACAGATGACCAGAAAGTGAACGATTTGAAAATAATTAAGATTGGGAGAATAAGGAAAATTATGCACGCAATAAAATCAGTTCGTTGCCAAATTGGAATGTAGGGTGGTTGGAAAAACGCGAACGAAAGATGCCGTCCAATGTGATCAATTGTGTGAAGAGCAGCGGCAAAAGGACCTGTGGCTCGGGATTTGAACTCCTTTGACATTTCCTTTGCAGTAGTTTTGTATCTAAAACAAGGCTTTTTTTGAAGATTCAAGCGTTTGTTGTGTTATTACTTCACTGTATCCAGAACTTTCTTCATTGCAGCAAGAAGCGAAGATTCAGACAGTTGATACTTCTCAACAATTACTCCAAGACTCTGACATTTAATTTTTTTTTATTTTCAAAAAATCATGAACTATTACCTTTGCTGCAACCTTTGCCAGATTTGCTCTATTACTTCCGTATAGTGGGACTCCTACAATTGGAACTCCGTGTGCTACTGCTTCCATGATAGATGACATTCCACCATTTGTTACGAGAAGCTTGCATGCTTTGTGGGCTGAAATTCAACATGTTATTTTCTAAAACCTGCCAAAGGATATTTTTTACCAAGAAGATCATTTTGTGGAATATAAGTTGTCAAATTGATATGAGACGGAACTTTTTCTTCATCGATTCCATCGACTTTCATGTTTGGTCCAACTCTCCAATAAATTCGATAGTCAGTGAGCTTAGAAAGAGCTCCGAGGACTGCCTTGGCTTGTGATGAACTCATTTTGCTACTATCTGCCTGTGTTCCAAATGTCACAATAATCATTCCTTTCTCGGCGCGTTCGATAGTTGTGTTCCATGGCTGAAAATGGCAGGGTATTTTGAAACTGAAAATGAAAAAATGAAATGAATACTGAGAAAAGTGGTTTCGGATGGTCGATGTGCATTCCGCCGACATGAATAACATTTGGAGGGATGGCGCGTGGAGGTTCAAGAAGCGGATCAGAATTCACAAAGAATGCAACACTTTGATGTTTCAAGATGTTCACATTTGGAAAATGCTTTTTACTAAAACTATAATGTTTTAAGAAAATTAACACAGACACTCACGTTTTCTTGATAGTATAATCATTAGCAAACATTGAAGTAATTGGCTCGTCAATTTTAGCATATCTTCTAGAAACCAATGAAGAAATAACCGGGAGTCCCATCTGAGCAATCATCTCCTGGGTGTAACAAAATGCCGAACGATACATGCTACACAATTGACAATCTGAAGTCTGAAATGCTCCTTTAATAGCTGTAAATCGACGACTTTAGACTACCTCAGGAATTGCACAACTTGTTGGCGGAATTCGTAAATTGATTGGTGTTGCTGAAGCAATGACGGTTTCATCGGTAAATCCTTCGGTGTCATAATAGATTGTTGGAATAGCAACGAGATGATTAATAGCAAGAAGACAGGGGTTTCCGGAATACACAATTGATAGATCAATTGACTCTTTTTTCAAAGAATCGATAAGATTGGAGTTCAGCAGCTGAAATGCATGATGTTGAGTACTAAGAATATCGAATCAATTCATACCTTATAACAACTTGCATTATGTGATTTATAATAAGCGTTCAAATAGGAATCGGCGTCATAATTCTTCTTCCAAGCCACATTAGGAATCGCAACCTCTAATGACTGGTAAATTTCCCTATATAATAAATCTGTTAATTGTTCACTATGAATAATCAGTCCTTACTTCGAAAGAACATTTTTGATAACCTTTTCCCTAACCAAATGCAACTTTGGCTTCACCAATCGTGGCTCCTCTGGGATCAAAATTGGCTTAATTGTTATCACATTGTGATGCCTAAGAGCCAACTGTTGCGCAAGAAACTCAAGACTATTCCGCTCGAACTGATTTGTTCCAATTAGATATATGAGAATATTAATAGAAGTGACCGCATTGATCAAGGCGATGAATAAAAGTAGAGTTCGCATTGCTATTTGCCTGCGAAAGAGCAAGAATGGCGCAATTGCACACGAAGGGCAAAGGAAGAGGAGGTCGGCGAGACCTGGTACGGTGCAAACATTGGCGACGTGGAAGGGTCAACTCTTTATCCAAACAGATTTAAACGTCTTACTAACTTGACAAAGGCTGCGGGCAAATGGACAGTTTTCGTTTGCACATATTTATTAAAAATGCAATATCAGAAATTATTAAATCAATCCCACTTTAACGACCATTTTTTATTTCCTAATTTTTTTCGAGTTTTTTCTTTTATTTTTTTTAAAAACTTGATTTATTTAAAATATTTATTTATTTTCATTTTTTAATAATCAACATAATTTAAGCAGTAGATGAAAGAAATCGTTGTTGGTCTTCGTCTTCCTCTGTTCTGAAGAGTTGGCATTGTTGGATACTCAGCAACATACTCCATAATGATAATATCTTGTGAATGACCGACGCTATGTGGTTGATTTTCAGCTACAGAAGCGAATAAATACAGGAAAAATTTTGGCATTACGACGAGAATGTAGAAAGAGAATAAAAACAAGGCGACCAACATTGTTCTCATTTTTTCATTTGTCCTCTCCTTTTATACGGTGTGAAATGTCAAATTAATTTTTATTGAATTTCTCTTTGTTTCCCAATTTCAGTAAATTGTGTCGTCATTTTACTTTTTTTTTCAATGAACAAATTCTGATTGTTGTCCTTCGGCGTATAAAAAGACGAATTATATGTATTTATGCTAACTTTGAGCAACCTAGTAAAAATAAAAATAAAAACATGGAAGAATCGTAATTTGATAAATAATGAATAATTGTTGCGAAAAACGCGAAAAAAATGTTATTAGTTGAAATATGCATTTAAGCAATATGTTGTAAATAATACTGTTCTCTTTATTTCCAGTTAGAGCTAGGCGGTTGGTTTATATAAAAATTCACCAAATTTCTTCATATGTACATACATGTATCATTATAATAGTAGTCATACAATTGTTTTCATTATTTATTTTTAGCATGTATTAAGATAAATATCATTTATTCGTATAAATAATTGCATATTAGCATTACTGTAATCTAATTTGAATTAGGATTCATAAATAAACAATATGAGATTTGTTGAATTGTTTTTTAGAGGTTTTTAATCTTTTCCAAGTAATTTGTTTTTTCGATTCAGTTTTGAATCAATCTTTGGTCAAAAACCAAATGGATTCGTAATTGTACCTGAAGATATTTATTGAAATATATCAAAAACCTTTCGGAGAACTTTGCGCAAGCTGAGTAATATGCTCCGATAGTGAGCTAATCACGTAATCGGCGAAACTGGTTGGACATTGAGAAAATATATTATTGTTATATTTCCTAATATCTCCCACCGTCTGCTGAGAAAAAGTGCTGCCAAAAATTTCTTTGTAGGTTTCCATATCCGTGTGAATCTGAACTATTTCGAGATTTCCTTAAAAATGGTCGAATTTATTTGTTGTGTTTCTCCGTGATTCATTCTTTTTCAAATTGTGCATTAATAACAACATTAACACAAACGCTTGTTTATCAAAACAACAAATATGGGCAGGAAAGTTTACATGAACACAAAAAACGACCGCAAGAAGATGTTAATGCTCAGTTTGTTCTATTTGGTGTGCTTGGGAATTTCGAATAAGTATTTATAGAGATCTGGGACATAGTTGGTTATGATATAATTGCTAGTATCGACATTTATTTAACTAGAGATATCTAAAACGACGTCCGGTTCCGCACAACTTCCAACGGCAGCGTTTTGTACGAAGTGGGGCTGAAAATTAGCATAAGAAGTTATGAATCGAAAGCTTGTGAGCAAACCAGAAAGTCGTTCCAAATCTTGAAGTTGGCCATTTGGTGACTTTTCGAGGATTTCTCGCAATAAGCTGATTCCATTGCTCAATTCGCTCTCCTATAAATCATTGCATGGATATCTTTAAATCTGAAATTGATTCCACTACCAATTGAATTCTTCGGACATCATTCATTGGAGATGAAACCATCTCGACGTTGGAGGCCTGCAATACGATTTAGTCAGTACCTGAACACTGATTTCAACCAACCGTGGTGGCAATTAACATTATAAAGAGTGCAAAGCAAATCGAAACAAGTTGCGCCATTCTAGATGGGGATCGACGTCTGATTAAAAGAGTGCCGATGTATCAGAATGACGAGTGGGCAATCTCGAAGTCCTCCTATTACTTTCGTTCAAGTTCTCTCGGCTCAAACTCGCAACACTCTCGTTTTTTTCACGCGCAAAAAAGCCGACAATGAAGCTAGTTATGGTTTTCTGACGACGATGTGTAGCCAATCTGCAATCTCGACGCCTTTTTTTCGGTAAACTATTGAGAAAAATTCACATACGCAACGATGAGCTGGACTTATGTAAATGTTCAGAAAACAAGGATACTGGAATGAAGGCAAACGGATATGACGAATTACAGCAGGACTACAAGTTTGAAATATATTTGGAAATACGCATGGGTTGCGTGTGATTCTATGACATAAAAGGAATTTCTCACGTAACAATAATTATGTGACAATTCAGAAGAAAAACGATATGCCTAGAAGAATTCGAATCCGCTTATGCTTTAACTTCTCTGGAAGACTGTTATTTAATTATTTTCGAGATGAGCGTAAAGGATTCGAAAACAACATTATTGTGTTCATTAATGGAAAAAAAAGACTTTGTCTATTCATACGAAAACATACCAAAAACATTAGGAAATTCATATTTTATGCTTCAAATTTGAATGTGTACTAATAAACCATTTTTAATGGAAAAAAGAGTTCTAATGTGTTGCATAGTTAGTACAATTTTCGAGAAACGAGAAAATGTATGGCGAACAGACGGATATCTTGTCCTTTGTATAAATGTATGCGGATTTAATTCAATAATCTTATTAGAAATTATTAAACCCACGCAGCCCGTTTCGATGAGATCTGGAACGTATGTTTGGAATGAAACATCTTTTTTTTTCGCAAAATAGCAAACGTAGTATTGCCGATTTTTTTCGTAAGCTGCCAATACAAATTTATTTCGTTGAAATGTGATGTCGACTGTTGTCACAAAAATTTTTGCAAAAATTAAGAATTCACATTAGTTTTAGATCTGTCGGAAATTAACATTTAAAGGAGACTAAAAACGTCGTCCTACTTAATCAAGGGACGGTTTTAACCAGAAGATTCATAAAAAGAGTAGAATGATAGATTATGACTGAGCAAAAAATGGCATCAAACAACAAGACTAGTGTTTTTTTTTGCAATCACATGCATTCCGAACAGAACTGCAAGGAGCTTATTTTTTTGAATATGTACGACGTAATTCTGTGAAACTGAGACCCTGAAGCACTTATATAGACACAATTGATGAACGAAAATATTTAATCCTTATTTCGTCAAAGGCTGCAAATTCGACCTTTATTTTTGATTTCAATAATCCTTGAAAGGTAGAATGAGTCAATTTTAGATATAAATAACTAGCGGATAACTACAATTGTAGTTTTTTTGAAGAAATGAACATAACGGGGTATTGTTTGATACAACAAATATGATTTTTTTTCAAAATATTTATCTTATGCAAAACGACACTACCGTAGTTCTGCTTTGAGCTGCTAATGCCAATCTAATTTTTAATATGAATGCGAGAAGATAACTCATCGGATAGTATTTCTCATGCATCAATTCTGTTACTATTTTAAGAAGCATCAAATCGATGCATTCCATTTTGAAATGTATGTTGTTATATTGAAAAAATGTTGTTATATTGAGTGGTATGTCACACAGAAAATTGTTTTGGGATATTGATATTATTTTATCTATGATACTCTTTATCAGTTCAGATCATCATAAACAACTCTCGCCCTCATAAAACCATAATTGGCTTTATTTGATTCAGTTGGGACGGATACGACGAACAAGCTTCTAAACTTTCATTCTTTTTTTTGTCGTTCTTGCGGTTATAATGACTAATGAAATGAATAATTACGTTCGTTTACTAAAAACGGATCTTGAATATCGATGAGAAAAATATGTGATTCAGAAAAAAATGCGGGTTTGAGTTGCCTCGAATATTAGTACAAGGTCAGTTTCCCACGATTTGTTTGAAACCAACCAACTATTCCAATTAGTGGTGTTTCGTGCTTCAAGTTCAAACATAACTTTGTTTGCTTTGTAGAAGTTTTATTGGATATGAACTTTGTAAACAAAATAATGATTACTTCGGGACTTCACCACTTACAAACGAGTGTTCTTGATTGGAAACGAAGACTTACAAAAATTGTTCTATTTCTCGCAAAACAAAAATTTTGAACGAAGATCAAACTAAAGATAAACGGTGCTTTTAATTCAACCGAGTTGAAATACTTGAAATACAATTTCGGGATGCTGATCAGCGCCTAATGAAGTTGGGCAGACAAGAAGGTTTACTTAATTGGTACCAGAATGCGTTCCGCACTGACGTCAGAAACAAACGAATCCTCGTAAGGGGCCACACATTAATTAAAATTGCTGTACTGGAACAAATCAAAAACGGGATAGTTTTAGTGCATTTAATGATATGACTTATAAACTGTTGTTCACAATTCCGTCGAACGTTGGGCTTGCTGGAGCTGGATAATTGTCATGTTGCTGAAAAACACGTGATGGAGTATTATATTATTTTTTATAATAATAAATGTTTTCGCAAAAGTGTCATTTACTGAATGTTCGTTGCTGCAAGTAATTTCCTTATTTTTTTGCAAAAGCAATAATTGACTTCTGATAGAAAATTTTCAAAAAGTAGCAGTTGTTTGATTGTGTTAGTAAACACGTACATCGTATTGAGTTGTTATATATTTGCATAGTAAATATTGTTGACTGCTTTAAATTTGTTCGCAGATCAATCAAATAGAAAAAAAAAACAATTCACTACGGTAAAAGAGAAAACTAAATAATTTTCAGCACTTTTAGCATTTTTTTAGTATTTTTCTTTTTTTTACAGCATTTAATTGTTCCATTTTTTTGCTTTGATCCTTTAGACTTTCCAAATAATACAATTATAAAAAACGAGACCCCTCGATACTGTTTTTTTTTTTTACATTTTTGTGAGTTTCGCTCACACGTTATCTGAAGTACGGTACACAAATTGACATTGCTTCAATTGCAATTGGAAAAATTGATGGAATGCTTTCTATCTATCTCTATCACACAGGGCGCTTGTGTTGATCATAACGGTCTTTTTAATTTATTTTCTTGTGCACTACTTACAAAGTTACATATGTCAATATTGAAATTGCAGGGATAATAACGAACTTCAAATTTAATACTTACATTGTTTCTCCAGAAACTGGCCACTCTGTCTCCAGCCAAATATGGATTCCAAATCGTTGGTACACGCTCCATATTGTGATCGTCGCTACCTTAGTGAAATAATTTTAGTCTTACTCAGTCCTGTTCAATTTTTTTATTCTAGAAAAAAATAGCACATACACAAAATCAGTAGAGACCAACAAGGCGATTTGGTCTCGCCGGTTCACATTTACGGGATTGGACCAGCGCAGACAAAAAAATAAAAGATAGTCAAAGATAAAATTCGAAATTTTCAGTTTTCTTTCTGATCTTGCTAAGATTGTCTCAAATATCTGCGATAACAGTAACATTTCTTTACATGAATGATATGCGCATTCGAAAATGTTGGTTTTAACCTGCCCGGACCCCGTGTCTACAAGAAAATCTAAGAAAACAAACGAACATTTGAGGAAAAAAAAGAATTTTATTTTTGAGTTGGGATCATAAACAAAGAATTATGTACATAGTTTTTCTTTGTTTTCATGTGACCAAAAAAGAGAGGCGATGTCTTCCTATACAAGTATTATTTCTCATCTTTGTGTGTGAGTATTTTTTTTTGACAAATGTATCTTTTTGAAATCTTTGACTCTACCTGTTTTGAATAGCGAAGCCCGTGGTCCTTTAGCAGATTTTGGCCGCTGGAATGTTTTTTTCAAAACCGTCTCTTCAGGCAAATCATCGGATGAGCTAAAAATAAAATGACATTATATGTTACGATATCATCACAGGTTTGGAATCCTATGGAACTATAAATCTCAGTCTTCATATTATCTCTGAATGTTAGTTGCACATTACGTTTGTCGTTGGAAATATCAAAGTAAAACTGCGATATATCAGACCATAAAAACCAAATTTTATAATAAAATGGTGTTTTCAACTAATGATGAATTAAATACTAGTTGAATATTTTTTCTTTATGTAATTTGAAGTTACAGCTTTTTACCTCGTAGGTCCTGAGCCGGAATCTTTTACGATAGACTCCACGTCAAGTTCGCGAATAAGAGCCTGCAATACTCATACTAGTAAGCTCGCAATTTCGAAAATTGAACCTTTGGTGAGGGTTTCTCTTCCCCACTGGAACTCGAAGCAACATCAGAAGTGTCGGTGACTGGCGGCATTTGAAGTGGTGCAATCTTTGATACTTTTTTGCGTTTCTCTTTCGATTTATTTGTGTGTCTTTTCTCGTCGTTGGCGGCTGTATCAGATGCCGAACTTGATGCGGTTGGCGTCTCAAACGTCGCTTTCTCGATGGCTTTTTTCTCAGTACGCAGACGTTTGTCTAATCGTGCTTCCGATATGGTTCGGAATGAACGCGAGTATTTATCTGAAATTCAAAAAATTCATAGATATAATTTATTGTTCTAATATATTTGTTTTCTCAATGTTCTCGAACATTTTTTTTTGAATCAACCCACTAAAATAATCGCAAATAAATATTCCTGGCAGTAAAAAGAAGTAATTGCTAGATACGACGACATTTTCACAATATTTCTCCGCCTTGTCCTATTCCACGAATCCTTTCAATTTCTGCTTTTTTCTTTGGTTTGCATATATTGTTCAAAAAAAAGGAATGGCAAAAACCAAGTCGTTTTTTTTTTCAAATTAGTAGTTGAAAAACCCGCACAAGGTCATCCCTAAATGCAGGTGTCTGTGTACTATTCCACATTTCTCAGAGTTTCCTTACTTCGTAGGCTTATTTAATCGGCAGATTTTTCAAATGTCTTGGATTTGATCTATCAACTCCAACACTAAATCACATTTCCCACGAGAGTTTGCTCTACTCGAACGGTGAGACCAAAGTCTTAAACTAACAAATCTCATTTCTCTACTGTTTTTTCAAAACTTTTCTAAATTGAGCAAAAAAAAACGTCAGAAATTATACACTTCAAAAGAAAATTGATAGCTTTAGCTCACAAATATCAGGAATACCCTTGAGTGGCGATCAATTTTGTGCCTATGTGCTCACGTTTTTTTTTCGCTCATTCGTTGTCTTCAACTTGTCAGTCATGCAGAGTTGGAACAAAAAATGGCGAGAAAGTGGTGTTCAAAATTCACTCTTTTGCTCTTTTTCTTACAATGAGATTTTAATTCGTTGCATTGCTCGTCTTATGGGACGGTTTTATTTTCGCGCAACTAAACGAAAAACACATAATTTAACAATTGAACAACAAATGACGAAATTTGAAACGTTTTAGAGCCCAAATCCAACCATTATTGAAATATGAGTCAGTTGGGTTGGTTTCAGGTTCGAAAAATTAACACCCCTCCTGACCCAAACCATGTTCTTTTCATTTTGTTTTTACGTATTTATTGGTACTGACACGTAGAAGAAAACGCCTCATTGAATTATTCTATGTATGATTGTGTTATATTTATTTATGACATTGCTTCTCAAGCATTGTGGATATAGAAGAGCAACCTTCATTATTTCCTATTTACTCGTTTGATCTCAACACAAATTCAATTTGGCTCAGTATATAAATAATGAGCACGTACACAATCTTTAAAACATGAATAAAATCATCAATGTTAATTTGAACAAGGAATCATTCTACGATTCAAAGCTCAAACCAATCCTGAAAAGACCCACATTTTTCAAAAAAGCTTTTCGGACCCAAAGTTTCAAATTCTCATGTTATTTTGGCAACATCCATTTTCGATATCTCGTATCTAAATGTAGACATGCACAAAGTGCAGTCAACGCCAAATATCTTTTAATAGGCTTTTACGGCAAAGATGGATTTGTACAACGTCATGTAAATTTGAACTTTCTCAATAGTCTTACAAACTAGCACATTTTTTTTTTGAAAAATAGTTCATCAGTATTTATGTGTAAAGCAGCAGTTACCTGCAAATTTTCTGGCACATCCAAAACATTTCCTTGCCACTTTCTCAACTCTACTCATTCTTCACGCGCGCACTACATTTGCTTCGTTGTAAGAAACATTGAAAAACAATGAAGTAATTAAATTTGGTGCATATGAGGAAGCAATTTTGTCGTGGAATTCTGCCAAAAAAGATGCAAGCGCGACGTACGCTTCATTTTTAATTAGACATCTTGAAAAACCTAGTAGAATACTGATGCTTGAGAAGTTTCTTATGGAAAATTTAGTGGTGCACTTCTTCCTCTCACTCACGCCAACGTTTCTTTATTAGTTTCCTTTTTAACGATTCCAGTTGAATCCTGAAATATCACGCAAACAATGCTCAATTGTTGGTGTCAATACGAAAATCGACAATTTCTAGGTAGATTCAATGCGAAACGAATCAGGTCGTAAAAATGCTATATCGTTGGCTAATAAAATTGCCTCTGTTAAGAAATTATGTTTTGTTTCAAAAAAAAAGAAAAAATTTGGTCCATTTTAATTACTTATATAAATTGAAAATATTCAATTCCATTTTCATTTGTTAACACAATTGTACACCCTCCCGTTAAAAACAACCAAAAAGAAATGCTCAACAAATTTTGGGAGCTTTAAAAAAGCAATAAAAATACTTCAGAAAGCTGATTTCGATCAGCGGCACTTCCTTAGCTCTCACTTTTTCTTTTAAACTATACATGTTTCCGGAAGGCAGGTAATCACTCATAACAAGCACTGCTCAGATTTTCGAACTAAACCTCTAAGCCATGTTTTTTTTTCTCAATTCTTTGACAAACGACTTGGTGTAAGTGGATGGAAAAAAATCGAGAAAATAAAGCCATTTGGGTGACCATAAATTAGTAGAACTATTTAACGTTCCACAGAAGTTACGGATCCGTCCCATTTGAAGTAGTTTGTCATCTTTTTGAGAAAATTTAAAGATATGTGTGTTTCCTATTATTTCTTCCCATTAGCGGCTGCACAGATTTTCGAGAAAAACTCAAAAAAATCCCGATAAAGGCTTGTATTATTTTCAGCAAACTCGTAAGGTTTTTGAGTTTTCTGATGGATTAATACGTTTTTTTTAAACTTTTTGCGACACAATTTGAAATGAAATAACTGCTGGAAACAAATTAAGTATTTACTGAATCTTTCTTCTTAACATAAATTTCATACTATATTTTTTTATAATATTAACTAATATTGCGGTATTTTTTTTATTTAAAACTACGAATGATGTTTTAAAAAAATGGAGAGAAACACTAGACCACCACACAGCAATTTCAGATATTCTCACATAGCGAACAATTTCTCTTTTGCTATCACTATTTTCATTTTTTTTGTTGTGAATATTCCCAAATGAAGCATTTTAATTAGAATTATTCGGTTTACGTGAAAACATGCTTGAAAAAATTCAATATACTAGCAAAAAAAGGATGCTTTGTTGCACGCTGCACATACTCAATTAATTGACGGTGGTGCTCGTGGCGTGTCCCACCATTTTTTACATTTTCGCATTATTCTTCAACATTCTCCAGCGCCTTTGCAATTGCTTCTCATGTTTTCGGATCATTATTCAAACCCTCCTCTGAGCCTCAATTTTCCAATTTGCCTTTTTTTACAATAGATGGTGGGGTGTTGACGCTCCAACAAAACATTGCGATAACTCTTTTTCATAATAGAATTATGATATATTTATTTTCTAGGGAGGTTTCTAGTTAATTTTTGTCTTCTGCTTGTTTTTTTTTTCGCATTACAAAGTTTTACGCTTGCATAAGCATGAATCGACTAAGATACTTTTGTTTATGATACCTTTCAAAAGATATTTTTTACTACTGGTGATCTGTAAATATCATTAATAATTCACAGACTTTCTCTTAAAAAAAAACTAGAAGAGCATCGACATAACATTTTAGAGCATAAATCGTCTAGCAATGTGTGTTGTATCAAATATAACTCTTGATTTTTGTTTCATGTTTTGGAACTGACTTTCAAATAATATTCGAAATGGTATATTTTTCATCGTTTGAAAAATGAAACGAATAAATCAAAACAGATAAATAAAATCTTAAAACGTGGTTATGTGCAACACGAAAACCTTTTTTTTTTTAACATTTCACGTTTTCAAAAAAATCATCCTTCAGTGTTCGGATTTCTAAACTATCCTTGCATGATTTTTCTACATTCCCGAAAAAAAAAGCAGATTAATGGTTGTGTTAAATTTGTTAACTACCTTGTTTTTGCTTGATTTTCTCTATTATTAACTAATCGGACTCATTTGATTTGTAATTTCGTTGAAAAAAAAGTTTCACCTTTTAACCTAGGTTTAGCAGACTGGCTGTCGACAACACTCTTCGATGGTGTTTCATACATTCTGCAATTAAGTAACTTGACGAGATTTTATGGAATTTTGGCTGCACAACGATCGCCACTACCGGATTCGCAATCAGCCGAAAAGAACAACAGCGGTCAGTTTATTTTATCAAAACAATTCCGGAAACCACGAATCAAGTATTCTATCGTGTTATGAAAACCAAAAAAAAAAATATTTGTTCGACTTACCCTTCTGCCCATGTTGGAACTTCACTCACAATGGTTCCCTTCTCCATATTGGCTCTCTGAGCCCTAGTCATATAATCGTTAGGTTCTTTGGCATGCATACGACCGCAAGTATTGTAGAACACGAACAAACCAAGCCAGCCAAAAACAACAATTAAGATGCCAGAACAAAATATGGCTGCTGAAAAAAGAGGTAAATTATCTATACACATCTGTCATGCTGAATCGTGATATGAAAATAATATCCTGCCCACCTATGATCCACCATTTCATTCCACTTGCCTTCTCGATGTCAGCATACGCTGAAACATTACGAATGATTTGTTTACAACTAGTGATGTTACAATAGCTCTCAAAATCTATTTTTGACAACATTCATATTTATATTATCCGATTATTTTCTATAATATTTCGTATAAATTCGCACAAAAAGGTTTGTATGCTTGGTTTTGAAATATAGTTTAGAAAATTATTATATCTCGCAAAATGAGTGCAGATTACCAAGAGTTTAAATTTACTCAATCTTAATTGGGTGGGAAAAATACAAAGCTCTCAGAAAATCGTACAATTACTCGTTTCGTGGCATTTAGCGAGTATTTTCATTTTAAGTTCGTTTACCTCTGACGCCTGATACTGCTTGAACAGAAGCGCTTTAGTATTTAGTAACCCAAATAATTACTCATGGATCAAGATCAATTCAGTGAAATTGAAAATATTAATTATTAGAGTCAAGTTTGACAAATTTAAAGTGATTGCATTGGGTGAAAATGAAAAATAGACTATATTATTAAACATCGCAGTAGGTTCAATTTCTAGAATTTTAACAATGCGTAAAAAAACAGTAATGATTTCATAATAATGCTCATTTAATTTGTTTGTTTATAGCTGATATAAACTGGTTGCTAATGGTTTCTAGTAATATAGAACCTTGGTAACCAGTACATTGCTTTCTTCCATTTTAGAAAATATAAATATTCTAAAATGCTCAAAAAAAAATCGTTAGTATAATGTGACGTTCTTGTAAACGTTGATAGAACCATATAAATCTTTTCTTCATAAATTTACGTATGAATGTTTTAGCACATACATTATTTTTGAAATTTCAATTGATTTTCGAGAGCTCTAATTCTTAAACGTAGATCAGAAAAAAAAATATTATTTATGGCGGTATATGCTCTGTTTTTCTCGTGAGATAATGTTCACTTTGGCCCGTGAGATTGCCTGTTTTCACCCACGGCGCCACTCGTGAAAAAACGATCTCCATTGTCAACGCTAAATATATTGCAGTCCGACCCCTTGCCAACCATTTGTACCCAAAAAAAGGGGGGGGGGAGAGGGACTGCCAATTTCTACCGAGTTGTGATGATTCCTTGGGTCTCTTATTGTCACATTCGTAGTTATTTTAAAAACATTTAAAATGTTCAAAAAACGACGTCATTCTTGATTTGATCACTAAATTTGTTGAGATTTCCTCCTGAATGATGAAAATACCCATGGGACTTCTTAGGGTTTTATGTTTTAAGCGTCCGAATTGAAAACTTTTTTTCGTATGTTTTGGTTTTGTTTTTTCGAAAGAGTGCTAATATTCAAATTTGTCGCAATGATTATTATTATTATAAGACAATTGTCGACGAGTTGTGGATTAAACAACTATTTTATAAACAATTTAGCAACACGCCACAATAACGTAGCATATTTTAATTCTTCTTCCTTTTTCGTTACAAGCTCATTTTCACACTTTCACTGTTGATCTTACATTGTATTTTTGCAAGTGGATAATGTAGGACTGCGCTGATTTGTGACGGTGTCAGTTGCTTGAAATCCATAGCAATTATCTGTAAGCGTATAATTACGTTCATATTTACACAAACCGTGCGTACATTTCCGCGAATCGGTTCGCCGTCTGAAAATGTAACAAAATTTATAAGTGTTGAGCTCCCAGCAACACGAACGTTCAGCACCTAAAAACAATTGTGAATTTTATTAATTTCAAATTTTTTTATTGCCTATCAAAATGCCATTTATCTGATTGTATTTTGTCGAAGACCAAAATTTTAAAATTGTTGTTTTCGCGGCTATAACGTCTTCTGCATGAAATTTGTTATTCTATTTTTTTTACGTCAAAATGTACGAACAGAATTTGGCAAGGTAACCAAATATTCATTACAATATTCAAAATTATTAAACAGTGTTAATCATCCAATGTCACATATTAAATTCATATTGGTCCCCATTACTCTTTGCAAATTTGGCTCATTTCAGCTCTTTGCATACCAATTTTAATTTGTACTTCATAAATTATTTATAGTTACTAAAACGTTTATAATTGCGAGGCAGAATTGACCTTTGATACGACGTTTTTAATACATTTTTAATAATTTGATGATACTTCCATAATTTATAAGCAATGCATTTTCAATTCTCAAATACTTAATTCAAAAGAGTTTACAATTTTTTAAAAAATAATTTCTATCTTCAAATTTGAAATAGCTCATCATGGTTTATTTTTATCCGGCGTTTGCACCAATTTCCGTATTTTTTTAACAGGATTTAAGGTTCCGGTTTTTTAAGAGGTATATTTATAATAACTCCAACTTTTGGATTAATGTCAGTTATATAGGTGGTGATAATTTTCAGTTTTTTTGTTTCGTCACTACATTCTTGTTCAAAACTTTCGAATTAGGCAAATTATCTAATTCATAATTAATTTTATGCCAGTCAATAATCGCCCCTAATTTGTTTCTCGAAGGCTTTTGAAATTGCACACTTTCGCTTCCAAAAATGGCGCGAAGAACATCGAACTCATTTGTCGCAAAATAAATTGGCACGTGTGACGGGTGCTTCGAACTCATCGATCAAAAGGCGCAAACTCCAATGGCGCAAGAAAAAACACACGCCATGTCTTGCACGAAGGCACCCGAAACGGAAAAAAAGCGAAGTCGAAATGGGAGACTGAAGACGACAGCTGCGGCGGTTTCAGTGCACCCAGCAAGACGAAAAAGAAAGTGTATAGGAATCTGAGAGTTCTGGCTGCCTCCCCTCTCACTTGTTCATCTCCGCTGCTTTATTTGGCCGCCGATGGTGTAAGACCAGTATTTGGTGGTGAGTTTCAGAATGCGTGAGCCACCCGACACTCCTCGATTTGCATTATTTCTTGGCCTTCCGCCGACACAAGAAAACAGACGAGCAATGTTTTCTTTTTTTCTGACTAGTGAGACCGAGTTATGAGCTCAAATTGAGTGCAGCTCGTTGAATCCCTTTTGTAAGAGTGCACAAATAAATAAATGGAGCTGATTAAAAATGACGGATGTCGAGCACATTGATAAAGGAAACGATAATTGAAACGAAGCTAATTAAGTAAGAGGCTAATTTGTCCTGCTCATGTTTGACAAATTTCTAATTAAATCTTCAATGCGGTATGTCATCAATGTCACTAGCTTCCTTTCAACATCATTAGGCCAAATTCAATTTTCGCGTCTAATGTCGAAATTCAAGCCTTCTAATAAAAACAACAAACATACTCATATATTATTGAGAAGCACAACGACCAAATTAGATGTCAATAATTGCAGGTTTTAATTATGTGCCTAAACTGGACAACCGCAAAAAAAGATTTGTTCCGTTGAGTGTTTAATTATGAAAGATTCAATGTTTGTCTACACTCTTCTTTACGATTTCCTGCGAGTTTCACGCGGCCGGCCGGCGGCGACGACATCGAGGGGACCCTCCGCGTCGTCCACTTCTTCCACATCATTTTTACTTTTGCGCATAAGCTGTTTCAATTCGTTTTTGCGTTGCTTTTTATGTGGTATACACGCTTGAGGTCTCCAGTATGTGTGGCCCCGGCTATCCATTTGAAATGCGCAAACGCATACATACCAACACGTACACGTTTGAAACATTTCTGCAAATTCTCACTACTTCAATTTTTTTGTGTTTTCTTTAATTTGAGCCATATACTTGGTTCCCTCGTTGGTCCCTTGAAAAAAACCTCGTTTATGAGCTGTTGAGTATTAAGTCGTGCAAACCCCTCATAATATCTTTCTACATTAAAAAATTCTGGAGGTTTTTTTTGCAATCCTACTTTCTCATTTTTTTCCAATTAAATATTTCAATTAATAAGAAAAAGGATATGATCATTGACGATTTACCAATGACTTTCAATTTGAAAAATTGTTGAAAACGAGTTGAACTGAAATTTTATTTTCCCAAAAGATTTAATTTCAATATGGTACAGATTAGCGAGCCTAATAAACCATGTATAATTTTCAAGGGATTCTTGTCAATAATGTTTTTGTTTACTAATATCGGATATAAATCTTCTCAAAAATCACCATTAATCTCGTTAATCGATTTGAAATATGGTTAGGCACCTGACGTATTTTAAAATGGAAACAATGAAACACGTGTGCTCTTTTGCCTAGAATCCGAAGCGTTATGGCTCTCGTTTGCTGAATATTTATTCTAAATTGGTGTATGTGTCTTCGTCTCGTTTTTTTGCGTTTTTTGACAGAAACACGAAAAGACGAAGATGCTACTAACCCACTCTCTCTCACGCCGCCCTCTCACCCCCCCCCCTTTAGAACGGGCCACTATTCTACTAACAATCACAAATGAATTCTGAAATTCACCTAAGTGCAAGAATTTGGTTTTTTTTTCAAATCTTTATGTTCCACTATCATTCTGCATATGTTGGGTTCCTTAATGCACTTGTAATCAATCTCATCTAAACGCATTCAAATTCATTTGAGCCGATATAAATCAAGCAATTCAAATTTGGCCACCAATTGAAGGAAAATTGGAGTTGAAGGAACGTGAAATTCACATAGTTCTTTTTTCTATTAGTCGTACGACAAATGATGAAGCCACCGCTACAAAGGATTTTGTTCATTGGAATTTGAATTGGAAAATAGGGATTTTCCAATAAGTCGTGATTTATTTTTCAAAATTCTTTGGCGATTAGGCGGCTTAAAAAAACACAAAAAGAATATTCGGAAAAATAAAAAAAATATTGCTAATACATATAACTTTTAAAATAAAACTAGAAATTTTGAAAAGTCATATTTATTATTTGCATTTTTAAACGTTTTTCATAGAAAAT